ATTATTCTATTGTTGTTACACTATTATTACTTTCAAATGGTCAAAGTGTTTTGTAACCGGTCAATAGATTACTATACTTTACAATTTAGCATCTAAGTAGAGAAAAATAAATAATTAAATCAATTACACTAGGGTTACCATGTAAAAGTATTTGGACATGTATGCATCGTGTGTATATATATATATATATATATATATAGGGTGCAAAAATCATAAAACAATTCTTCCTAATTCAACTTCAAAACATAAAAGCTCCTTATGAGGTTATGATAAAACTTTGTACATATATATAAATATATATTTATTGAAAGATATTGAAAACATAAATCATAATTTTGATCAAGCATTTACTCATACATCAGAGTAGCCCCCAACAAAAGAGCGTCATTTCCAACATGACACTCAAGCAACTAGTCGTCCACCATAATCTTGTCAACAACATAAATCAATATTCATCACAACTATTTAACTTAAAAACTTTCAACATGTTAACTCATCATATAAAAAACACAACTTGTCAACAACGTAGCAACATAGCAAATAAACAACTTATCAGTTTATAACACAATACAACTTAATAAATATCAACTTAAACAATATTGCAACTCAATGTATTGTCACACATTTCAACTAAGAAATCTCTTACAACAAAGTGAGTAGCCTAAGTGACTTGATCCCACTGAACCAACTTAACAACGCGATCTTTTTGGACTTGTTAAATCAACAACAAATTTAGATATCAATCTATAGCACAACACGATTTCTCATATTTTTCGACTTAGACTAGGAAAGTCTAGTATCCTTGTCAAGAATAAAACAACTTGAGTATCAGTTTACCACGACCTTAGCATGCATAACTAAATCTATATAGAATTAGTTTGCCGACTACCCTCCACATATTGTCCACCTTTCTAGTACTTAGTTAGGGATTTGGTACCCAATCTTGTCCCTTACTTGATTCAGTCGCTTATAAACTAGTATGGTTTGACCTAGCTCCACACGATATCAACTAAAAACCTAGAGCAGACTTAACATTCCACTTCAAGAGATAACTATACTCAAGAAATGTTTTTTAATAACTGGGCTCTTAGAGTACCACAATACATATCCTCACAATGAGATATTTTATCTTTTAAAAAACACCTCTCATTTAGTCCTAAGTTAACAATACAACAAAATTACATGCTTTAAGCATTCACAACACATCTTCTTCCAACAATATACAACTTGTCACCATACAACTCTGCTTCATACAACTTCAACTAATAATCAACTTTCACCATAGATCAATACATAATGAACTAGATTAAATCATTACCATACATCATCTAAATAATTATCCTACTCAACATATTTTCATCACTTAATCAACAAAGTCACAAGTTTTTCTTCCATTATTCATGTAGAAAGATTCTACTCGATCCACGCTTGAAGCTAAAAAACCTGTGCCTAGTGTCGTCCAAGTAGAAAGTCACTGACTTGATCATGTTCGATGTCACACAACCTGCGCTCAGCGTGGCTAAGTTAGAGAGCTCACAAGGTAATCACGCCTAACACCCATAGACTCATGCTTGGCATGACCAAGTCAAAGAATCCTAATTGACTTCCACTTGACGTCACATATCATGTGTGCCTGTTGTTAGTGAGGTAGAGATCTCTTGACTTGCATCATGGTTAATGCCATTAAGCTACGCCCGACATAATGACAATTTCTGCACTTTGTAAAATCGCGATTTGGCTCCATTTACTTGTAACTTCACTTCCAATCCAACATGCAACAAGTATTTAAACACATAAATATGTAAAACAACTCAAGATCACTAGTGTACACAACATGCAAAAATAAACACTAAAGAATTCAACTATTTCTCCTTCAAAACCCACCAAAAAACAAGTAACAAGATACTCACTTCTCAAATCAACATTTCAACCACAAAAAATGGATTTTAAGTTAAAATCAACTTGTTCTACACAACCATACTCAATTTACAAGATTCCTTTATCTCAAATCATAAGAAAAAAAAAATGAATGGTGAAGAATGCTTTTCCAAGCTATCGCTACACCACGACACCAACAATACTTGATTCTCAGCTTTGAAGCTTTGAATCACAATCCAACAACACAATCTACTCTCCGAGGAAGGATATAGGAGAAATCCGTTAAGTTAGAAGAGAGAATGGTTCTCCTTTGGCTCTAGAGCTTCTTTCTAGCCCCTCTATAAGCTTTTTTATTTTATTTTAAGAAAATGGACTTATGAAATTTAGGTCTTAAGAAAATCTCATATACATTCCCCTAAACTTTTTCAATAATGACCTCAACTCAAAACAACCCCTAAACAACTGAACTTGTAAGAATTTCCAAAATTCTTAGAGTCTTAAAACAACTAAACAACAATTTACAAAATCATTTAATTAATAAAATTAACTAAACAATCATAAAACTCATAATGTTACCATTTTTATTGAAAAAATATTCTTTAAATTAAATATGATGTAAAAAAAATTCTTTTTTAAATAATTAAAAATGACATAGAAATAATCCTTTCCAAGTAATTAATGATAAATATTTTAAATTTAATTAATAAAAATGATGTTGATTATAAAAATATATCATTGATCTCACTATTGTCGTTAAAAGAATTCATTTTTTTTTCTATCACTATAGGACAACCAATAATAAATGATGATCTCAAACCATCACTTATTGAGTCTTGTTTGTGTTGGCTAAATATGACTTATGTTTACTAATGATAACTGTAACATCCCGAATTTTTTACTAGTATAATAGTTAATTATTGTTTATTTTTATATTTATGGAGGTTATTTTCTTATAGATATTTTAATGGGTTTTATAGAATGTTTTAAAGGTTTTTAATATTTATGAGTATTTTAACAATAAATATTTATGAAAATTATTTATGAAAATTATTTTGATTTTTTTTAGTAGCCTAGAACGCACCGTTCTCAAACTGGAACGGGCCATTCGAACACATGATTTTATGAGTAATACGTGATTCCAGAACGGGTCGTTCCAAACATAGTTGTTGTAGGTAATATGTAATTTCAGAACGGGCCGTTCAAGTTTTGGAACAGGCCGTTCTGGATGAGAAATTTACGTATGACGCATGAGTCCAGAACGGGTCGTTCTGGTTTTGAAACGGGTCGTTCTAGCCACATCTGATGCCTATAAATAGAACATTCTGGCACTCCAAAAACACATTTTTTTCACTTTTGACCTCTTTTCTTCTAGGCTCTCTGAAGACCAAGGGGAACCCAGAGGAGGAGACCAACAAGATCTAGTTTTAGTTTCAGCTCCTGCTTATCGAGGTAAAGAGGGAGTGAGAAACCTCGTTTTGAGTGTGGGAATATCTGTTGGGTAGTGGGATTGGCCCCCAATCCTGTGTTTTTTGTATTCTTTTGTATCATCTATGGGGGTTTTCCCCAATTGTATCTGTTTCACCTATTGTTTTCTTATATGTAATTAATTGTATGATCTAAGATCTCTATGGGTTCCTATGGGAAACCCTAAGGGAATGCATTGGTAATTGTAAGAGGAGATGGTTTGAAGAGGTAATTGTATGAGTTAATTGTATTGTTTTAAATGTTTATTATATGAATTAGAGTGTTCTGTGGGTTCTTGTGGGAACCCTATGAGAAACAGGAAAAATATGAATGTTTTCTGTTTTGCTTTCTGATTGTTCTAATGTATTCCTTGTTGAATGAGATGGATAAATATGTGTTTATTTTTGAAAATAGACAAGTTTTGATATGATTTTGAGTGCTCTGTAGAGGCTATGTGAATATGATGAGATGATGTGAAAAGTGATAATGAGACATGATGATTTGATATGATAATGAGACATGACAATGTTATATGAGAATGCATAGAGTCTTGATTGACATGCATCATTTGCATAAATGTTTTTAAGGGTACGATATGGAATATACCGCCAGGGAAGGCCCCCTAGTGTAAAAGCTTTGGGGATTAGTCCTTGGAGATAGCTCGGTTTGGAAGTCTCAGTCTCCCCCATTGTGTGCATGAGATGTATCTTACGCGGCTTAGCTATCCCGACGAGACCCTAGTAGTATGTCCTTCTAGTGAGAGTGCGCAGAGGGTGTGACCCGGCATGTACTCCTAGACTACTCTTCGTGTATTGCTAGCGGCAATATGCCATGTGATATGTTACTGGCGCCACATGCATGATAATATGTAGTCCGTGTCTATACATGTGCATTTTTAATGTTGTATGATAAATTGATATTTTTATGTCTTGGATGAGTGAGATGTAATATTGTTGTTAATATATCTATGTTATACCTGTTTTGTTTGTGTTTGGCTATCCGGCGTATATTTCTACATTGTGAGCCATAGTGAGATGTTTCTCACTCCCTTTTTTCGTGTTGTTTTTCTTTGACTATTATACAGGTAATCATCAGCGTGAGGCTGAGGATGTTGGTGATGAAGCTTAGGCTTCTATGTTGGGATTTGCTCTGATAGGACATGTGATATCGGATCATAGATAGGATTAGTTTAAGATGTTCTTATTAAATTATTTTGGAAAACTCAGTTTTATTTCTTTGTAATTTTACCGGCATGTTATTTAGATTAAGTTTATGAATGTGAGCTCTTTATCCTTACGTGGTTGGAAATTTGTTTTTTTTAATGATGAAAAATTTTATTTTTTTATAATTACTATATACGTATGTTGGGGTAGAGGGTGTCACAATAACTAGATTGTTACTTAAGTTGACATAAAATTATGAAAATTGAATAAAAAAACATCATTGTTTTCTATTTCTCCCTAAATCACCAAAACCCAATCTATGACACCCAAACATGTCACACATAGCACACTTACAACACCTAAAACTCCAAATCTTCACTATTTAGAGTCATAACCACCATTGTAACATAAAAAATTTCACCAACAACACAAAAGAACCATTACACTAGTGCAAAAATATCTTTCTACATTGTCTTTTCTGTAATGGTTATTATATAATCGATATAGAAAGTGATATAATGGTATTTTTGCTATTTAAAACAAGTTTTTTACATCAATTCTCAAATAATTGATGTAGAAAACTTTTTTTTTACACCAGTTCACTCTACAAAGATTCATGTTGTTAATCGATCTCATTAAGTGAATCATTCTATACTTAGTCATTCATCCCATGAAGGTTAACTGAGCAAAATAGCTTCATTGAGTGAGAAAGTGTGACACCCTCTACCCTGCAAGCCATAACACATAATATATTGAATAAATGAACAACCTCAAATATAATAGATAAACTCAAAATCATGCAAGTAGAGAGAATCACATTTTAACATAAACTAGACTTAGCGAAAATATTAAATTACAAAGGAATTAAAATTAAACTAATCAAATTAAATAACATAAATCAAAATCCTAACTAGTTTTAACTAATTCTCTGGTGTCACGTACCCTATCATAGCATAACCCTTCTATGAGGACTAAGCCTCGTCATCAACATCCTCAACATCATGTTGAAGATCACCTGCAACAACATACAAGAAGAGCAACACAAAACAAGGGCAGTGATAAGCATCTCACTCTAGCTCACGACATAAGATGTAGTTAGGCAACCAAACACAAAAAAGACATATATTAACATAACATAAACATATTGATCGTATAATATATTCTATTCGTTCACAATAAAACAACTAAATACCACATAGCATTAAGATGCATTATGTAATGGACACGAATTACATGTTATGATGCATGTGGTGCCATTAAAAATATCACATATTACCCTTGTGCATTACCGCTAGCAATATTCGTAGAATAGTCTAGGAGCACATGCTTGGTCACATCCTCTACGTACTCTCACTAAAAGCACATACTACCAAGGTTTGATCGGGATATCTAAGTCGTGCAAGATACATCTCATGCTCACGAGGGTAGGATCGAGACTTTATGCATTACATTCACATGGTCATATACCATAACACATCACACATCTTATCATATCATATCATGGCTAAGTCTCGCTTAGACTTCTCATTATATGACCCTTACAAGATCCACACACATCAAATGCATCAATATCAAAGCACATTAATCAATTCATACATAGCTCACAATATGTCATATCAATGACATACAATATGTTATATCAATGACATACTCACACACTACAAACAGTTATTAAGTTATACAATGGTTACACAACATCATCCAATACACCTCAAGTAAGAATCATTGTGAGATCTTTTAATCATATGTTAACACCTCAACCATAATCATTGAAATCAATGTCATTAAGAATTTAAATCAGTAGCTTAAATAATTTAGCAACTTTATCACTATCTCACATGAAGTCCTTAAACATCATTATCTTTAAAACACCTCGAGTCATTAACAATCAACTTACATCATAACCTATTTACAATTTTTTTCTACAATAACTCATCTATATATATATGTGTGTGTGTGTGTGTGATATCTCCAATTTCTATGTTGACCCCAAGAGCTAATTATGTCATCTACTATTTTTTTAAAATACAAAACGTCAACATTTTAAGCTAAACCTAACAGTTTGACCTCTGCTCACTAATTTAATCATAACTTGAGTTCTAGACCTTATTTTTAATTGTTTCCAATGACATTTGAAACCTAACACATCTAGGGCTACAACTTTTATGAAGATTACAAAACTTAATTCTGTTATTTAAGTCTACTTGAAAGGCTTACAATGTACACATATTACATTTTATGCATAGAATATGAAATTCATCTTTTAACCCACATAACTTGGTCATCCCTTAACATTTTTATGTGATTCTTGAGTCTAAATTGTATCCCCAAATATATACTTTCTAACCCAACAATTGAAACTCAATTTCATTAATCACACATAAATAAATCACATAATTACCAAGGTATTCTTACCAGAATTTTCAAAATAAGACACAACTCACCCAAACTCTTTTCTCCCATTCCAATCGGTAAAAAAACATAGATTAAAGCCTAATACTACTCTATTCACTAATGGAAAATTAGTATATTATGTTACATCTTTAACGTCAGACACACTAAAATTCGACATAAAAAAGATGCGATGACATTTTTGTAATTTTTGTGAACTTTTTTACGTCGGACCTAGTAGGGTCCGACATAAAATGTATAATCTACGTCGGACATCCGACGTAGATTTTACATTTTATGTCGGACCCTACCAAGTCCGACGTAAAAAAAAGACGCGAAAGCGAATAAGAGAGTAGGAGGCACACCCGCGCGCATTCACTCACTCGGATCTCATCATCACTTTTCTAGATTCTTCTATGTAAACTCTCCCTCTCCTTTGTTGTTGAATCATTTTTTTTTGTCTTCTGCAGAGTGGGGTAAACTCTTCGTTACTCATTCGCACACTATTGCAGCTCATCAGGTATGAATCAGGGTTTCGCTAACACCTTTTTTGTTTCGCATTGCTATTGTGGCTATCTATTCTATTCCATTTTTTTGTTGTTCTATTTGTTTGGGTTGTTGGCCTTTTCTTCTAGGTTGTTCTATCAAGTAGAACGACCCATTCTCCAAGCAGAACGACCCGTTCTCCATGAAGAACGGCCCGTTCTCCAAACAGAAATGGGCGTTCTGCTTGCACTCATTATGTTTTTTTTTTTTACTACTTTTTTTACGTCGGACCTTGGTAATGTCCGACGTAAATTTACGTCGATTTTGAAAACCGACGTAAATTTACGTCTCCCGCATTAACGTCAGACTTTTTTCTGACGTATAAAACTTAAAATAACCGACGTAAATTACCTTTTTTGTACTAGTGATTATACCATCAATTACTCAAATATAACATCAATTTCACATTCTAATTACATACTTCTATTAATTACTCACACAATAACAATTTAGGGTTGTAACAGGAACCCACATACAATCCAAATTTTACAATTATATGTTTAATCATAAAATTAGAGACATGTACAACTACACCACATCAAATAGAACACTAAAGAATCATATGGAAGATCAAAAAACACATAATGAAAATCAATTGGGAAAACCCCCTTCATACAATACAAGAAGCAAAGAAGGGATTGGGAGCTAATCCCACTACCTACTATACATCTCACACCCAAAATGAGACTATTCATTCTTCCCTTACCTCAATGAGCGCTTGATGAAAGACGTAGATCTTTGGGGTGTTCCCCTACGAGTTATGGTTTTTCTTCCCATTCTTCACAATGATGAAAAACGAGAAGCGTAAAAATAAAAGAATTATTGTAACCTTTTTAAAAACGTAACTCACACTTAACCTTTTAGTAAAAATACTTTAACAATGGTTATATTTTTCTTTTTCTCAAATATTAAAACTTAAAAATATAGAATATATCAAATAAACATATTTCTTCCAACCCAAATAATTATAACAAAATACAATAATTAATATTAACAAATATATGATATATAAAATAAATTTATTTCTTGAAAAAAATTATAATTAAAATAAAATATATAAACAATTACAATAAAAACACATTTTTCTCCAAATACTTATTATAACAAAATATTATAAAAATAAAAATTTCTCTAATAAATATTATACAAAATAATGTTCATAAATATTTATTATTTAAATAAAATACTCATAATTATTAAGTCTCTAAAATATTTTATAAAAACCCATTTAATTAATTAAAAAAATTATAAGAAAATAACTCTAATAAATATAAAAATAAATAATAATTAAACTATTATATTAGTACAAAATTTGGGGTATTACAGAAAGCCCAAAACATCATCACATGCAAAGCTTTCCAAAGGTCCAAAGCACTTCCTAATACCTTCAAAAACCTTTGATACAACATTTTTTCATATGAGTTCTAATATTTTGCATTTGTATCAATATATTTTATCTAATTTAGACAATTATTGAGTATTTCTTATGCTTTAGAGTCATGTTTCTGTAAAAAAAAAAAGTAAGTATTTTAATTTAGTCATGTTTAATTAGTGGATTTCTTTAAGTGTTAGGTTTTTTTTATGCCTTTTGTTAGTTTTTTAGTTAAGGAAAGAACAAAAGAGCTAAGGCCAACAAGAGAGAGAAGTTGAGCATGACATGCTCTCACTTGAGTAAATCAACTTGATTGCTTAAGTAGGATAAGACTAAAAGCACTAAGAATAAGGAGCTACTGCTCAAATCAAAGGTGAAACATGTCTGAAGCAACCCTATGTTTGCTCAAGTGAGTCACTTAACCGCTTAAGCGAGCATGAGTAGAGATACCATCGAGAGCACTCATGAAGTACTCGCTCAAGGGAACCAATTGATCGCTTTGAGCAAGTAAACACCGCAAGCTAACGTTGAAAAAAAAACCATTTAAAATCTTATAAAAATAAGATTTTGAGAGAATAGAAAGACACTTACATATTATATATTTTAGATAGATTTGAGATAGTAAATGATTAGCATTAGTCATCATTAAATTCTCGAAAGTTTCTCTTTGTTTCTTTGTGTGATCCTATTAGCAATGAACAACTAACCCATTTGTTGTTAGGAATTGATGTAGCTGCTTGATTCCATGCAATTCTTTCTATTTTTATTCAATTATATTTTTATTTAGTTAATTGTTGTTCTTCTACTCTTAGTGAATGTTTTGGCTTGGTCGACCTTCAAATGATCCCATATAAAATATTGAAGTATGGAAATCATTTTAAAACTATGATATGAAGAATAATACTAATACTACTTATTACTAAGAACAAGATAAAAATTATTAGTTAGTTTTAGGCCTCCAATATTAACGCAAGTTGCTCAATGAACTTCATCAAGGAATTGAGATTTTTATTAAAGAACCTAGAAGTTCTCACCTAAGGGATTAGGGTTAAAACACTTTTGTTGGTTGTTTAGTTAACCTAATAATTACTAAAATTCAATAATAATTGAGAAAGATACATGTAAAGAAGGTAAGTGAGTTAATCGCTATCAATCTTTTATTATAATTTTTCATCATTTCTTTAGTTTTTCTTTTTATTCTAAATCATATATGTTCTTTACCTTTATTGCATTCTTCAAACAAATCTTTCTTTTCATTTTCCTTAATTAGAGGAATTACTATTACACAAGTCCTTATGAATTCGATACTTAGACATCTGCCAATTTTACTACTTGTGACAATTGCTACGCTTGCCAAAAGTTTAACAAACTTGCATGAAACAACACATGGAACCATAATGTTAAACAAGATCACTCCTCATCAAGTAAGACTGAAATCCCATTTTTCCAACAAGGAAAAACCACCAAATGATCAACATCCACCCATAAATTTGGCTCAAAATCGTATCATAACCACACATACAAAAAAGAAGAACAAAAATCAAACTTCCTTTACCTCAACCAAGTTTTATGAAGACAAGAATCGAAGTAGAGGAAAGTTTCCCAAAAACCCCAACACCTAGCTTCTACAACTTCACTTATTCAAATCTTTGCTTTAAAGATCCTCCTTCAACTATTTGAGATTTAAAACTCTAACTTGAGGAAAATTAAAGGCTTGTAAGATGATCATAAGAAAAAAAAAAGAAATATTTGTCTCCCAAAGTTATTCTCTCTAGTTTATCTCTTTAAACTTTCTAAAAATAAAACTTTTGAGGTTTCACTTTTCATTTTCTATATTAACCTTAGCCTTTTCTTTTCAAACTTTAATTTTAGTCAAGTTATAAAGTCTATTTGTTTAAAATTAAAAATAAGATTTTCTAAACAAGTGTTTTTTTAAAAAAATATTTCTTTAAGAAGCAAATAAGAGTTGTTTCTTAAAATAAGCAACAAAATTGTTTTTTTTAAATAAAAAAAAAAGAGTTTAGAAAAACACATAAAAGAAATAGAAAAAATCGATCTAAGGAAAACAGATTACCTCGATGTTTGGTGATTGTCATGCAATAGATATTTCCTAACACAGTAGACCGAAGAATAATTTTATCAGCATATGGTAATTTTTGCTGGTTAAAAGGAGTTTCGTATACTACAGTTATCCCCAATGTATTAAATAAACAAAATAATAAAGTATAAATAATAAATAATTAAATATATTCAACGGCCATAGATCTAGAAAGATCTATTGTAATTCCTTTGATCGATTTGTCAAAAATTAATTATTAAAAATTAATGAAAGTTTGGTGTTGTGGGGGCAACATCACAGTAGCAAGCATGTAGTAACCTAGAGCGCCTATAAATTAACGACAAGGCTCACAGGAAAATCCACGAAGTGAGCCAAAGAGAGAAAAAGATATATAGTTAAGGTGAGAAAATAATGGGTGTTTTCACTTGTGAAGTCGAGCACGTTTCCCCCATCTCCGCTGCAAAATTTTACAAAGCCGTTGTTGAAGATTGTGTCACTCTGTGGCCAAAAGCAATGCCAAAAATCATTAAGAGCGTTGAATTCACTGAAGGAGATGGAGGGCCAGGAACCATTTGCAAGCTTACTCTTCTTAAAGGTAAATGCTAATTAATTAAGATATATTCTCCTTCTAAACTTATTCTTCCCATAATTTAAAAAAAAAATTATTTTAATCTTTTAGATCATCAATAACATGTTTGAAAATGATAGATTGAGATAATGATGTAATATCAGTTGAGTTTAATATGATCTTTTCACTAATAAAAACATCAATAGATAAATTTTAGGCGATAATATTTGATAAACTTTTCAACGAAATTTAAATATAAAGACTAAAGTATTTTTTTTTTAAATTACAAAGACTAAAAATATTAATTTTAAATTTAAAAAATAAAAATATATTTATCTTAAAGTTAAAAATTTTAAAATATATTTAAACTTTCTATATATATTATTTCAACCTCTCATTTTTGGGACGACTCTAATGATTCATAAAGAAAACATTCTTTAGTTATTCATATAATTATTAAAAATAATTTTAATTGTTAATTAGTTACTATTTTAACTCGAGTATTGCAGGATATTGGATGAGCCAAGTAGACGCGATTGATAAAGCAAAGTTTGAGTTCAAGTATACTGTGATTGAAGGAATGATATTGGGGAACCAATTGGAGAAGATCTATAATGATCTCAAAGTGGTTGAAAGGGAAGATGGAGGATGCATTGTGAAGAAGATAATAAAATTCTATACCAAAGACAATGAAATATACGATGAAAAAAATTTGAAGTTTAATAAGGACAAAACACTTCTCTTCTTCAAGACCCTTGAGGATTTCCTTCTGGCTAATCCTGATTACAACTAAGTCAGTGTTAATTAATTATGTTATCCTTTTCTATTTTGCATGTCGTGTTGCTTTATTTTCAAATAATTAATATTTCACTAGAGTGGTATCATGTATCTATATTTAGTACTTGGTACAGTTCTATTTTCCTTATTCTTTTTCTCGCATTGTATCAAAAGAAAAAATAAATTTTAAAATATTATTTTAATTTCTAATAAAATATTAATTATTATATTTTGAATTATTCTTTCTATTTTAAAATAACTACCATTTAAAATTTGTATACAGAAACAATATATATATATATATATATATATATTATACAATCTTATAAAAAGTTTTTGTTTATCTAAATGCATTACTTTTATGTGATACAAATATATTAAGGTTGATATAATTTATATAGGAGTAAATTATAAAAAATAATTAAATATTACATTAAAAATTAACATCATTATTTTTTTTAAAATTAAATGTTGAAACTACAGATAAAAGTATTCTTTGCTATACAAAGAGAGAGAGAGAGAGAGAGAGAGAGAGAGAGAGAGAGAGAGAGAGAGAGAGACGAAGAGAGGGGGAGAGGGGGAGTGAGAGTGAGAGAGAGAAAGAGAGGGAGAAAGAGAAATAGAAGGAGAGAAATATTTTTTTGTTTTAGAAAGAAGCATATTGTGATCTTTTTATATATAAAACTTGCCTCATGTGAATTTTGAAAATCCAACCGTTAGATTAAAAGTTCATTACTATTAGATCATATATATTTATTTACGTAAACCTTATTACAAATTGATATTAAACTATTTTAAAAAGATGAAAGTTTATTAAAATTATTTAAATACAGAATTTAATAATAAATAAGTAAATAAATGCTACATTATAATTAAGAAGAATAAAAAATATTATTTCATTTCATTCAAATAAAAATAAATAAAGTAGAAAAATGTTAACAAATACCATTACAATGTAGAAAAAAATAGATTTTAATAATATTATTAAAATTGACAAGA